GCTCGGGGCGTGTGGGGCTGCCAGGAAGGACCTGGAGCTGCGCTGAGTGTGTCTGGCCCAACAGGTCGCCTGGCTGTGAGGAGAAGTATATCTGAACCGTCTTCTGGCTTGTTTTCTTCTTGTGTTTTGTTTTGTTTTTGTTTTTTTTTTCTGTTTTATGCTCACTGCAACCGAATTCTTTAGAGCCTCTCGGGATCAGCTGCTTGAAATGTTGAGCGCGGTTATGCCGGTGCGCTCGGCACGGCACAATCCTGTATCTGGGAGCTGACGCAGTGCCAGTTTTGTCATGGACACGACGTGGTTTTGTCAATAGATAAACTTTTTTAGTAAAGTAACAGCGTTATTAATGGGCCTCTAAGAATAACTAAAAGTAGGCACGTTGCAGAGAAACTTAACGCTTTTGCAGTTTAGGATAATCTAGAAGTACTTGTCATAACATTATGGCAATACCCTCCCTCGAAGCCTGCTTTGCAAGCTATCAAGCAGATGTTCCTAACATAAGTTTATGGGAGCGGAGCAGGAAATTTTAGTAAGAGAAACCTGACAGCTGCTCTTAAATATGCTAGATGTGCCTCCTGAGGATGAACTGAACAGAGTGTAATAGCCCTGATCTCACTGAATAGCCTTATTTATTCTTGGAAAAGCTCTTCCTTAGCTCTTGTCGCCAAAACATGTGCTGTTCCAGTACTGTCTCTTACTTTGATAGATCAGCATTTAGAATAAAACTTTTCTAGGGACTGTTGAATATTTGCAATTTGTTGTTTTTGTTTTACCCAGGGGAGACTATCTACGATGCTGCAAATTCTGTTACCCATTATGTGCGTTTGTCATTCTCGCGGCTTGTGTGGTAGCGTGTGTTGGCTTGGTCTGGATGCAGGTGGCTCTCAAGGAGGATCTGGATGCAATAAAGGACAAGTTTCGAACTAGTGAGTATAAATGTAACTATATATTTCATATTCTCTTTGTGCCATATGAAGAGCTTTAGTTGCCTGCCTGCTTATTCAAAGTTTCGAAGTACTGAGTAGACAAACTGTCCCTGAATTGAGGAGCCTCTAAGCCAAAAACACTCAGAGGCTGGGCAAATCGAAGGCAAATATTATATATTCTTGCCTGCTCTTTATCTTCTGAAGAGCAGGGACACTGGTCTAGGTGGGCTTGTAGTTGCCGGTACGTACATTTCTAACATTCCTGACTTTGATCTTGGGAGCGTCGTCTTCCAAAGGAAGCCCCTGTTTAGAAAGAAAAGGTTCTGATCAGCCCTGTAAAAGCAGCCTAGGGGATTTTGACACATATTTTTATTTTTATTTTTTTAATGAAAAAGAGTGCTCTTGTGTTGAGCTCTTTTAAAAGCCTCTAATACTTGCTATGGCATTACTGCAATTTGAATGTTGCTTCGGTATTATGCTTTTTCTTTGTATCCTCAGAGTGTTTATCTTGCTTGCATTGACCTTTTCTTGTCCAACTTTTGTGTTGTGTTGCATATGGTGTGGAGTTACATCATCTTTAATACTTTGAAGTATGGAGTTAACATGAAGCATTTTGCTTGTAGGTCTCGGGTTCTCCCTGTCCGTGTAAGATTTCAATATTGTAACTTCTGTAGTGCTGAGGTGTAATGAATGGTGAGATTTGCATGTCACGTATGCTCTTGGTTCTCTATCCCTCACCTCTGGACACAAGATATGTTTTGGTGCCTTATTTTAAACATTAAAATCCTATATATTGAAAAAGGCAAGGATAAGCTGAGGCGCTGTGTGAATGAAGCAGAAGAGTGAAGCTTAAGCATTCGGGCAGTCTCTAGCTGCCTTGGGGAACTTAGGTTTTGCCTGAGTAGCACCACTGTTGACTGCAGGTTTTGTCCCGTAACTTTGGTCTTCATCTTAGAATTTTTGTGCCCAGGACATGAAGGTGACCTTAAAATTAAGGCTGGTGAAATCAGTTCAAAAATGAGGAGGCTACTAGGGCTGGAGGTAAGCAGAGGGCTTGATTTGCTTGTGGTGAAAGAAGTTTTGAGGAAATGTGTATAGAAATTCTTTGCTGTTGGTGTTTAGGACTTCCTGTTTGGGTGTGTAACTGCTGTGAGATGGGGAGTTGTCTGTCAAGGTAGAACCAGCTGGATGCCTGGGAGCGAGAGAAAGCATTGCTGGTAGATGTGCTTTTCTATTAACTGATACTGAACTCTGAAAGTTAGCAGTAACTGAGCGTCCACCAGTTATGGAGGATACCTTCAGTTACAGATGCTGCGTTGTAGCTGTCAGGACACCAAACAGCTCTGCAGTAACTGTTTCTGTGTCCTGGGTAAGCTGCCTGCTGCTCTTCATGGACTGGTCTGCTTTTAAGTATGTACTGGCAGTAAAAATTTTGCACAGTGACAACATTTGTTGGCTTTGGTGTAGTTAAGTTTCATCATTCCTGTTCTACACAGACCTCTTTGTTAAAGCAGTTGTTCTCTCTGAGCTTGCTGTCTGGCAATTACAGATGTGCTTGTTTCTCTCCTTAATAGCTCTGATAGAAAAGCTGTGTATTTAATAGTTGGTCTAGTGATAAAATGCTCTCAGATTTCCTTACCACTATAATAACACGCCTAGAAGCTGGACGGGAGTCTCATAGTGAGCCACAGCATTAAAAACAACAACAAAAACCCAGCAAAAAGAGCCTGGTTCTAAAAGGTAACATTGTCCTTTGGTGAGATGGGTGAGTGGATGGAGAAACAAAGGTATGGGATCTGTCTGTCCTAGAGCAGGTTTGGAAAAAGAATCTTCCTTCTCTGAATCTCCATCCAGATTTTTTCCCAATAAGAGCAGATTCCCATGGCGGTATTTGGTAATGTTTTGTCATCCTTTGAACAAACTGAGTGTGGTACGAGTGCTTGTTAAAAATAAGACATCTTTGCATCTAATACGTTTGGGGTAGGGGAAAGTTATTGTAGTGTTTCCCTTTGGTTGTTAGTAATGATGCTAAAAATGCATATAACACTTAACTTTGCGAGCACTGCAAAAAACTCTTAAGTGGAGTCTCACTGTACACAGTGAGAGTGGCAGAACAGAAAATACTTTGTCTCAAAGAGCCTCTGAAGCATCAGATTCAGATTGACCTGCTTTTGTCAAATGCATAGTTAGCTCTTGGTCTGTTTTGGCCTTTCAAGGTCTTCCTTAACTGAATTTGGATCTTGAGTGATCAATGCAGGTTATTCTGTACCTAGAAATGACTTTTAGGGCTTGCTTCAAGAAAATGAAGTGGGTTTTTGAAGATGCATGCCTCTGCAGTTGTGTATATTTGGGCATCCACTCCATGGGCATGAAGCACTCCTGGAGACTTCCCTGTTGAACTGGATGGGTCACACATGGAAATTTGTTCTGGGAGCTGCAAGCTATGTACCATGTAGGTCCCACTGCTCTTCGCGATCCGTGGTCTGAATGATGCAGGTTTGTTGTGGAGCATTCCAGTGCTGCTTTACAGGGTGGAAGTGCAGGTTTTGGAGAACGCTGTCATCTCCATCTCAAAACCTTTGTTTATTTGTTTCCCAGATCTAGGGATTTAGGATTGCCTAACAGTGCTTGCAGCTAAACAGCTTAGTCACTGCAGACCTGGAAGAGCTGCATTTCTGAGGCTCACTTGAATTAGTTTGAGCTGCATGATTCCCTCTTCCTGTAGTATTAATTGCAGTAATAACTGACTTTATTGCCAGGGACCTTGTTTACTGATTTGTTTACCAACAGATGCTAGTGTATGAGCTTACTTTTTTTTTTTTTTTTTCCCCCAGTTGTCTTTCTGTCACATGGAACAGCTGTAATCACATTAATCTCTTTGGAATTCACTTCATCGCCAGCAGCCCCTTTGCAGGCTTGAAATGGGCACTGAGGTTCATTTCACGTGCCTCCTTTGCCCTGGTACCGTCGGCAGTTCTTATTTACAGTCCCTTTACTATTTCATGTCCCTCTGTGAAAGTAATGTAAAATAACTGCACTAAATAGACACCTACTGAGGCTTGCCAGAATGACAGTACTTTTGCAGTACGGTCTCTCTGGGTTCTCTCTGCAGACATTAGTACTCTTAAAAAAGAGCTGTCATTCTGAGCAAACACTTAATTCTGAATTGGCTGTAAACGCGTATGTAAAAACTGTTACTGCCTTCTTTCACTGCTGTAGATGTTGCTGCTTGTAATTTGTTTTCTGTCTTTCAATGTTGTTTACCTGGACTTTTGCGGGTTTTTTTAAAAACAAATTTATTTTTTTTTTTTTAGTGGAATCTAACCAAAAGACATCATTCCAAGAAATTCCTAAACTGAATGAAGATTTGGTGCAGAAGCAAAAGCAACTAGAACAAATCGAGACTGGAGAACTGGGGCTGAATAAAATTTGGATAAATATCACAGAGATCAATAAACAGGTGAGAGGGATCAGTGCTTGGTTTTGAAAAATAATAAAATATTCCATTCAATTTTATTTTTTCAGAAATGAATTTCAGTGCTGAGCTTTTATCTAAGGACTTCTGTGACCATATGCTAAACATCTATTTTTAAAGTTAAAATGGAATATAAGTCTCGTTATTAAACAAGCAAAAAACTTTGAGCATCCAGTTGGACTGGAAACTGTTCACAAAGAGGAGAAATAACACAACTAGCGGAAAGACTTCACACAGAACTGAAAAGAACCTGAGAACTATGCAGTTCTTAATTTTCCTGCCAAATAATCAGAATATTTATGATGAAAGATTTGACATTTCAAATTTCTGAGTGTGTCTGCAAACATTTCATACGCATGGAAGAAAGTTAGCTGAACCAGTGCAAGTTCATGTTGCTACAGATGAAGTACTGTTGTCTCGTGAATATAAAATCTGTTGTTACACATTTGGAATCTGAGCTGGTGTAAATCTTACCTCTGTTTACGCGGCTCGAACTAAGCCACTTAACAGAAAGCTGTTTCCTCAGCTGCTGTATTAACTCATGCTTCAAACAAAGCACCCAGCAAGGCTCTTATTAAAATTCTTGCCTTGGCGGATAAAAGTTCAGAGCTGCTCACAGTTAGTGGTATCAGGAGATGCGTGTGGGGAACCCTCCCTGACACTAGTGCTTTGGGTTTAATTTTAAAGAGTACTGAGGTGCCCGCTCAGATTGTTTTTTTTTTCAGTCCCATGCGGTGGTTAAGTGCTTAATGGTGCACAAGAATATGTTTGAAAATCTGACTTGCTTGCTTTTGCATGTGACAGTATGTGTTATCCACAGATATTTAGGTGCTTCATTGGACTTTCAGAACGCTATCACCTGCACCTGGACATTAAAGATACTTGCACATCGTTCTTGCAGGCTCTCAAGTTACTTCAGGGTCTGGTTACAATCTAAGCCAGCTCTTCTGGCGATCAAAATTTAGTTACTTTTTTTTTTTTTCCCCCCATGAATTGTTGGGATGTGCCACTGGGAATCATTTCAGCCAATATTCACAGCTGTGGAACCAGAGACTCTTCAAGCTGATCAGTGTTGGCCTAATGTAAAATCAGGATCTTGCCCATTTCCTCAGCTTGTGAAACAACTTGGGTTTTGTTTGGGTTTTGTTTGTTTTTTTGTTGTGTTTTTTTTTCTTTAACCAGAAGGAAGTGGGATTTATCTGCTCTACTTTTGTGTTGTCAAATCAAGAAGAAATTATTTTTCTGTTTTGACTACTGATGGCTACAAATTGATCTTAAAGTGATAGTGTTAGCAATTAATGACTAGCATGTAGTTGTTTTTAATTTATTTGACAACCTCTTGGTTGGAATGAACAAGTAATCTTGAAGACCCATTGAATAACTGGCTGTCTGGGTCAAGCAGTTGACAGAAATTGAGCTAAGCCACTGTACCTAGATTGTCACTGTTCCACCTCTGTAGCAGAAGGTTTGGGTGACAAGTGTAACTTCTTTGCCCGTCACTCAGCTAGAGAAGTTGCATGGCTTTGCTGGGTTTTGTCAGGCAGGTTTGATTACTAAATAGGAAGCGGATGACTGTTTTCTCTGCGTAAGGGCTTCTTGCACAATATTTTAAATCTTTCTTGGGCAACAGTCTCTCTAAGGGGATGAATGTGAAATGGACAGAAGGTACCTTTTTGAAAAGAGGGGGCTTCTATGGCTTTCGTTCAGTTTTTAAAAAGAAATCTTGCTTCTGTTGCAAGAGGCAGAATATTTTTAATGGAGCCTCGGCAAGACTTCTAACCTAGAGACAGGGGTGTTTTGTGTGTGTGTACATGTATAATTTTGTCTTGCCTTATGTTTTTAATGTTACAAATTAAGTTATTAGTACTGGGGAAGGTCAGAATCAGGATTATGTCGGCTAATTCTGAATATTCCTCTTTGTTTTTAGATATCACTATTGACCTCAACAGTGAATCATCTCAAAAACAATATAAAGTCTGCTTCTGATCTGATTTCTCTTCCTCTCACAGTAGAGAAACTAGAGAAGGCAAGTACTGTACATGTGGCTGTTACTAAACGCGTTCTGTGCGGCTAAGCTGCAGCTGGGCTCTTGGGGACAGCAGTGGCAACAGGAGTTACCTGAATTGCATGTGAGGAATATTTCCTTCTCTTGCTTTTGAATTGGACTTCATATACTTGATATTGTATGGTCCTACGATAACATATGGCAGGTAAAAAATTTGAAGGCCTTGTTTGTCCCTTTCTGGAGATGTATTTGGTTATATTATGCTGTCACTTCTTTACCTTGGAGCTGATCTTTCTGGATGCTTTACTTCAGGTTGCTATTCTTAATATCATTTAAGACAGTTGCAAAAATTCTGCAATTTTACAACTCTGCTTGCAAATAGGTGGCTTGTTTAGCTTTTTTAATTGGAAAAGAAAATGGATTGCTTTCTGGAAAACATCTTCATCTTGGGCAGTATGTAGTTCTACATCTGACTCTGCATTTACAATCTTGAGGCGGGTAGGGGTCTATCCTGGGAGCTGTGTGCCTGGAACATTAGCGTGGGAGCTTTCTTGGTGTTCAGCACATGCACAGCAAAACATGAGTTGTATTGGGATGTTTTTCTGGCAATCCCTTGAAAGATGGGCGCTACTGGGTGACACAAACTTACTTCTAAAGTGACTCTCTTAATATAGTGTCTTACCGCGTGCCTTAGCTGAGCGTTCTTTACCAAAGAGCTGTCCTGTTTATTTTGGTAAGAAGAATGACGTGTTGAAACTTCCCTGGCTCTTCCATGGCAGTTCTGTTTATTTAGCAATAAACATTTATATTGGGCTAACACTTAACACTATAACATTTATATTGGTTGGTCCAGTCCTTGTGGCTCTTACGGGTTTCCACTTCTCCTTTCCTATCCCTTCAAAATTAACGTATAATCAACAAGCTAGTCGTATTGAAAGCAATTAGTGTGGTTTGGCTGATCAGGCTGCAAGGATTTCTTTTTCTGGGAGGAGTATGAAGCTATTTCCTAAGCTTCTAATTAGCTGTTATGAGCATGCTGGATTTTCACTGTGTCATATCAGAAGTCAGTCTTAAGGAGTACATATTCTGGAACCTGCACCTGCTTTATATACATATATGTATAATATCGAAAAACCTTGTTGTCATCTTGCTGCCTTCAGTACTGTCAGGACAGTTCAGTGATATGCTGAGCAGCAATGCTTTTTCATGTTGAAATAAGTCCATCTTTGGTCACGCTTCATGAAAATCAAAGATCTTGGGCACTTTAGAGTTCTTTCCAGTCTCTTCTGTTGAGTCTAAGTAGGGTGTTAGAAGAGGCATCTGTTTCCACTGCTCACTTGATGCCATCTTGTTTGCATTTATGTTTTGGAAGGTTGATATAATAAAAACAGAGCTGAAATCCTCCCAGGAGGTATATTGGGAGGTGTTGAGTGTAGAAAATCTATTCTGAGGCTTAAATACAATAGTTTTAATGGTTTGTAAGTGTGACGTTAATGAAAAGCAATGGGTTTCAAAACTTGAACTTTTTTTTGACCTCTGTGTGTATGCTGCACTACCTTCTGTCACACAGGAGAACATCAGTGGGTGTAGGTGGGTGGCCTGGCTTTTGATAGCCCTGGTGGAAAAACCTCTTGCTCAACTGTCCATTGCATCCAGCTGGCTTCGGAATTACCTGCCTTTCTTGGAAGAAGTCATCTATCAGCAGTCCTGGCTAACCGGGGGAGGTCCCGGTTGACTGGAGGTTGGCAAATGTGATGCTCATCTACAAGAAGGTCTGGAAGGAGGATCTGGGGAACTACAGGCCTGTCAGCCTGACCTTGGTGTCAGGGAAGGTTATGGACAGATCGTCTTGAGTGCCATCATGTGGCACATACAGGACAACCAGGTGATCAGGCCCAGTCAGCATGGGTTTATGAAAGGCAGGTCCTGCTTGACAAACCTGATCTCCTTCTATGACAAGGTGACCTGCTTAGTGGATGAAGGAAAGGCTGTGGATGTTGTCTACCTAGACCTTAGTAAAGCCTTTGACACTGTTTCCCACAGCATTCTCCTGGAGAAACTGGCTGCTCATAGCTTGGGCAGGCATAATCTTTGCTGGGTAAGAAACGGGCGAGATGGCCGGGCCCGAAGAGTGGTGGTGAATGGAGTCAAATCCAGTTGGCATCTAGTCACAAGTGGTGTTCCCCAGGGCTCAGTGTTGGGGACCAGCCCTGTTTAGTATCTTTATTAGTGATCTGGATGGGGGGGGATTGAACGCACCATCAGTGAGTTTGCAGATGACACCAAGTTGGGTGGGAGTGTTGATCTGCTTGAGGGTAGGATGGCTGTACAGAGGGATCTGGACAGGGTGGATCGATGGGCTGAGGCCAATTGTACAAGGCTGAACAAGGCCAAGTGCCGGGTCCTGCGCTTGGGTCACCACAACCCCATGCAGCTCTAGAGGCTTGGGGTTGGTTTGTATCGGAGATAGCGTGGCCAGCAGGACTAGGGAAGTGATTGTCCCTCTGTACTTGGTACTGGTGGGGCCGCACCTCAAATACTGTGTTCAGTTTTGGACCCCTCACTACAAGAAAGGCATTGAGGTGCTGGAGCATGTCCAGAGAAGGGCAACGAAGCTGGTGAGGGGTCTGGAGGACAAGTCTTCTGAGGAGCAGCTGAGGGAACTGGGGTGGTTTAGGCTGGAGAAAAGGAGGCTGAGGGGAGACCTTATTGCTCTGTGCAACTACCTGAAAGGAGGTTGTAGGGAGGTGGGGGTGGACCTCTTCTATCAAGTAACAAGCGAAAGGACAAGAGGAAATGGCCTCAAGTTGCACCAGGAGAGGTTTAGGTTGGATATTAGGAAAATTTCTTCACTGAAAGGGTTGTCAAGCATTGGAAGAGACTGCCCAGGGAAGTGGTGGAGTCCCCATCCTTGGAGGTGCTTGAGGGGTGTAGATGTGGTGCTTAGGTACATGGTTTACAGGGGGACTTGGCAGTATTAGGTTCACGGTTGGACTTGACGATCTTAAAGGTCCTTTCCAACCTAAATGATTCTCTGAAAAGGCTGCTGTGCTTTTGGCTTTCTTAAGCCTTATTCCCAGTAGGTACTGTTCCTGAAAATGGGGAGCTGCCTGCTGGTGTTAAGAGTCCTGAAGGATTACTGAGGGAGTTCCTCTTGGACAGCGGCTTTTGTTCAGACTGATGAAAGGTGCTAAAGGTGTCCTGAGGTCCTCCAGGGCAGAGACTGCTTACTGAACCTGTGTTCAGACTTGCAAAATGAAGAGCTGGGGGAAGGTTTGTGTGGATTTTGTTTGAATATAGTCTGTGTAGCTAGAGGGTCACTTCAGTGCCTTAAGAGCGTATGAGCATAGCAGAGTCACAGGAAAAGGGGAGTTTTAGATGGATTCCGTTTGTTTTGACGATTGAAGAAAGTATTAAAAATGGCATGAGAAGCACAGGGCCATGCTCTGTCCCACTACTGTGACTTCCACTAGTGTTTGTGGATGCCCTAGCTGACAATCTTACTCTGATAGGTGCTATGCTGTCAGCTGCTAAAACACCAGTGCAGCTCTACGGAATAGTTACTTTCTAAAGTTAGAGCTGAGGGTAAGGGGAGTTCACATAGGTGAAGGTAAGGGAAGGATGAGACAGGAGTAGTCAGGAGCAAAGGCGGCTGTTGGAGTGTGCTGGCTGCACCTGCTCAATTCACAGGGGCTTCCCTGATGCTTCAGAGCTATTCTTTCATTTTTAAAATGGCAATACTTGCTTGAAAAATCTAAGCTGCAACCTTTGGCACACTAGTTTAGCAGTGTGTGATGTGTCTGATGGGTAGCCCTGAAAGACAATTAAGGCAGGATAAATCGGTGATGTCAGCATCTTTGTGTTCAATATGAATACTCCACGTAGAGAGGACGTAAGGAGTCTTCATATCAGTATTATTATTATTTTTTTTTTAATTAATGCCAGAACATCTGTATTGTTTTGGGAGTGGGAGTAGCAAACCCGCAATTTTGGTTGTCTATCTTAAGCTTTCATGGTGCAGAGTGTGTCTTTGTTTATTGTCCTGGAGATGTGACTGGTATAATTTGTAGTTTTGTCTGCAAAGAAAGTTCTGAATACTTCAAATTCATGTGCCTATTTTTGTGGCAGTCTGCCTGCCGTTTCATTAACAAAACATTGCTTTTAGCAGATTGAAACTTTAGGACAGTGCAGTTTGAGGAAGGCTGAGATTTTTGTCATCTTCTTTATTCCAGACTGTAGCGAACATAGGTAGCACGCTTACCAGTGTTTCTCATGATGTTGAAAATATACAGACAGCTATTGAAGAATACAAGAAATCCACAGAAATACTCCAGAATGATGTGGTAAGAAAACGTACTGATTTAACGCTCTGTTTTAATGGTTACCTGCTTAATATGAAGCAAGTTGAAAAACTGTGTGGATTTCTTCCTTATGTCTTCAAAATACTTCGGAAGTTTCAGTAGGTATTGGTTTGCACATTAACAAGTTAATCTTCTAATCCCTGTGTGGCACCTCCTGTATGGTACCAGGTATGTATTTCTCTGGAGTCAGAATTGTTGGTCCCTTTGACGCTTCTTATCCTGCAGATTTTTGCTTCCTACTGCACAGATGTGGAGCCTTGGGAATCTCTGTTTCTGTGCGATGCAGGGTACTGCTTATGGTAACTGTCCGCACTCTTTTAGGATTCGGGATGGTGGAAGCGTTGAGATAGTTTGTTGGCTGAATTAAGGATGTATATAAGGATGAAATTACTGACCATCTTTACCAGAAAGTACTCACTGTATTTACACTGACCTCTTACTTGGGGTTAACAAACTGAGCCAATAATTAAAGTTTTTCAGCTAAACTGCAATACTTTCATAAGAATATTTGCAGATAAAATCTAAATTTAGACACGTTATAAAACTTGATTCAGTCAGTGGGTGCTAAGAAAACATTGCAGATATGGCAGTGTGTATGGTAGCAGTGAAATATGTATCATAATACTTCGTTAAAGGGAGAAGAGCTAATTAGGAGGGTTTAATTAAAATAAATTTGGACCTTAGGTGTTTGAAAGACAAAACTCTGTATTAGCCTAGTTAAAATGCTGCATGCACAACAGGCATGCGTGACTATAATTGTAGAAAAACATCCTTAGTTACAGCCTGCCAGTTATTAAAAACTTAGGTTGTTTTTTTTTTTTTACAGGCATTTGGTAACATAATTTTCTACTTCCTTCCTTAGAAAGAATTAAAACAGATACCTTCACTTCCTTCCACTGTTGTGCCAAGGACTGAGAGAAATCAGACAGAAAACTGCAAAAAGGTATTTTTCTCCCTTGCATAAGGAATATTGGCACAAGTACTGCTGATAGGTAACTCTTTGGTGTTTTGCAATACTGTAGTGTACAAAAAGGTATGTTTTTTATCAAGACAATACAGATAGCATCCTTCAAAACAAAACAGGAGATAATTTTGCTGTAGTTTGTTCTTGTGTATGTGCAAGCAGAAGAATACCTTAGTGTGAGAGTAGGTTTTTTTTGTGTTCCAACTGGGTGAGGAATAAAAGACTGAAACAAATATCCAACAAATTATAGGTGTACTTTACTCATGTAAATGGAAATGAGTTAAAGGATTTTTATGGAGTGGATTTTATGGCAGGTACTTACCAATCCTTGCAAATTTGAGAGTGGCATGTATCGAGCCACCCTCAGTGTAACGAGGTGAGGAAAGCAGGGATTCAGCTACAACAACAACAACAACAAAAGGATAACATGTGGGTGTTTAGCCAAATGGGTTGGAATGGAACAACTGCATTCATTTACATTTAATACAGTTGATATCTTCCTCAAAAATGAATCTTGCTTATAAACACGCCAAATACGTGCTTTCTTGGGAAAAATAGTTGGTATGGTTATTAAGCTTGCCCTGGAAAATTAGATGAATAGGCTTTCTGTGTTTGCTGGCACAGCTGAAGTGATTACATTAGCAACAAAGAGGTTAGCCCTGAGGGAGACCCTCAGCTTCAAACTTTGAAAGCTGGAATAACTTTATGGAAGCTTCCACTTGGATGTTTTCAGCGGTGTTGGTGGAGAGCCAATCTGAAGGGTGCCCAGTTAAACTGGGTCAGTCACCATGTTGTTCATAGCAAGAGCTCTGCAGAGGTTGAGTGAACTGATGCGTGCTGGTTTTATATTTCAGGAAAGCCAGTCACTGCATGCAGCTTTGGAAGAGCTAAATAATACTGTAGCGGCGTACCAAAAGTTGAATGACCTCAAGCTTCTGAATGTGGATTCAGCCATTGGTAACCTTAGCCGGGAGGTTATGCTGTTAGAAAACTCTCCCCTTGCTGTGAATAATCTGGACAAAAGAGAGAACTTGTCCACCAGCGTGGTAAGTATTTGATGACTAAGGGTGTCTGCCCAGGCTAGTAGTTTCAATACTTTGTATACATTACAGACAAAGCTTTTCAAACCTAACTAAAGAAAATGTTAGAATGAAACTCGAGACACTTAGTATTTCATTTTAAAGGCTAGAATTTGTTCCATGTTTCTGAGCAGATAACCAATGTTAAGAGTATCTCTGAAGTAGTAATTTCTTCCCTGCCGAATGTACAGAAAAATGTCCAAAACACTGTGACATTTAATACTTTGACTGCTTAATGGGACGCGATTCACAAACCTCTTTAGCTATGTTTTAGGAAGGTGCTCTGGCATGGGTCTGTTAAAACCACTGAGGAGCTAGGTGGGCCTCTGGATTGTTCAGCGGTGCTTAACGCTAAAAAAAAATATAAAAATTAATACTAAATATGTTCATAAATTCTTCCAGTGCTTTCTGTGTGCCATACTGGTGCCGGTCTCTGAGAATGCTAAACATACAGAACACAATAAGGAACATGCTGACCTTGCTGTGGTAAATTGCATAACCCACTTTCTTCATGTTAATTCTAGCATGTATTTGTCCTGTCTTTTTTCCTGCTTCATGCCTGCCAAATTTGAAGGAAAGCAACTCTTTTGTAGAAAAGTAACAAGCACATGAATAAACGCGGCTCCCCTCTGTTTTTCCTGTAGGGGAATGATGCAACTACCTCTCGAAAAATGGAAAATGAAGATAAACTAGATAATGAAACTCATTCAAATAAAGAACTGAAGGTAAAGTATGGAAACACAAATTACACTGGATTAGTAGAGCATGTAATTGTCTTTGTGATCATGTTTAAGTGAGACTCAATTGAGGAAAGATCTGCAAGCAGGCTAGTCTGATCAAGTTTCTTTTAAAAGTCCAGAGTAGAAGGACAGCTTATCCACCCCGTTTTGGGGACAGGAAGTCAATTAGGATGGACAAAAAGTTGTAATAAATGAAAGTCTTGCCATTCTGACTACGTATGGGATAACATAGCAGAGCTGCGATAATATCCTTCTGTGCAGCTGAAAGAATCTTGAGAGGTTCAGACCGTGTGCCGGTGGAAGAGGGGACTCTGGCAGCGACCTCATTTGAGCACCCATTGCCATGCTCTCAGCAAAGCTAGCCTGGCTGTTGTGGGTTTGCCCCATAAATGGGGTTACGGCGTTTATCTAGGTTTAAAAACTTTCTCGGGTTGACATAGAGAAACTTTGCGCTAGTGGAGTCTAGGAACTGAGGAAAGCTGCTTCTCCGTAATGATGTGATGACTGACTGTGAGCGAGTTTAACAGACTGAGTGGCCAAATTGTGAGCTGGGACTAAAAGGCAGTGCTGCTGAGGTTAGTTTCCATCTTCTGGAAAGAAGGCAGGTGAGTGAACTGGCTACGCTGTGAGTTCTAGGCTTGGACTGATGTGAACTCAACCTGTCATCTGGAATCGACTCATAAAAGCAGCAAAGATGCTCCAGATTAATAAATGCTGTGGTTTTACTTTGACAGAGATATGGCGACTCCTGCACTAAGGTAGTCAGTACTGCAGACAAACATTTGAAACAATTATGCAATTCAATTTATGTATAAATGTTTGCTCCAAGTGTGTTTGACTGTTTTATATTATAGTTTTTCAGTGTTGCTCATTTATATAAGAAATATGGAAATTAAATGTCAGATTGTTTTGAAATCAGTGTCTGCAAAGTAGTTGCCTACTTTTCAGGTTGAGGTACCAATTCTATTGTTGTCTTACAGACCATGTGAATTTATTCCTTACATCTTTCCATAGATTTTTTTTTTCTTTTTTTTTTTTTAAATCTTGTTTACCATGTTAAGCTTGATTAGCCTGGAGACCTCCAAGTCACTCAAAAGTACTTACATATTTTAAATTACTTCTTTTCCTGATCTTCTCCATCTACTGAAGGGTGCTTTTTAAGGATTTTTTTTTTTTTTTTCTGCATATGCAGGAAACAGGAACTAGAGATTCTCAGGTATCAAAACTAAGAGAGAAGCTTCAGCTGATCAGTGCTCTTGCAGGCAAGCCAGAAAATGACAGACCCATTGAGACATCGAAGAATGGTAAGAATGTTGTATAATAATAATAATAATCCATAAACCTGAAAGTTCCCTGTGTAATTCAAAGAATAACAAATGAAGGTGGATAATTTAGACTGTTCCTTAAGATTTTGGTAAGGATTATTTCATTTAAAGTGGTAGGAAACTGATGGCTCTAAACCAGAGAGCTATATATGATTACAAAAGTTTGAAGGTGACTTTTCATGTGCATAGCAGGATTCACGTGCATCAGTAGCTTGTGTTTGAAGGCATACAGTGATTAACCTGTAGAAATTTATACCCAGCAACATCTATTTTTGCTTTTTCAAAATCTAAGTGTAACATAGAGGAAAGGTGTGCGTCTGCTGACTTGTCTCAGTTCTGCACTTTTGCTGTATACATTCAGGTAGGGCTGAAGATAAGATTTAAAATACTTCCATTACAGTAGAACTGTGCTGCTTGTTCATTTGCTAAGCAGCACCTTGGATGTTTAGACCTTGCTGTTGGGGAAGACAGATACCTGCAGTGACAAGGTGAAAACAACCCAGGTGGGCAGATGTAATTAACTTAATAAAGCTTGTTCAGCACTTTCAGACTGGGAAGTAGAAAGCATTTGCTAGTCATTTGTTGTATGTGGTTTACAAATACACATCTCCTCCTACAGCATGAAAGATTAAAGCTGTGTAACTGTCCAAAAAAAAAGTTTCCTTCCTTCTCTTCTTCTAGTTATTGGTAAAAGGGGACAACACTGCTGTATCCTAAAACTATTTTACAGCATTCTTATGCCATACAGCATCTATGATGCCAAAAAAATATTATTGGATTTTTTTTTGTTTGTTTCTGCTAACTGGAATTCCGTGGTGTTAGTAAGACTAATAGAAATTGTTTTGTACCAGTTGAAAGTAGTCTGAGTACTACGGCAAAGCCCACAGACCTTTCAAGGCTGGCTTCAAGGTCAGCTGATGACAACACAGAGAGTAACGGGCAGCTGAGACATCTGTCCTTACCAGGAATTTCCAGCATCAAAGGTATGTCCTTTCTAGGCTGACCTTCTCTTTTTTTTGAATATTTCATGTAAATGTTTAGGACACAGTAAGTATAAGTGGAATTATGGTAGCGTGTCTGGGCATTCTGGGAGAAGTAAGGTCAATTTTTTTTTTAAAGTAATTAAATAAAAAAGAAAAGACTAGTGTGTAAAAAAAAAAAAAACAAAACCAAAAAAAAAACCAAACAAAACCCCAAAAACCCCAAAAACAAAAAAGAACCCAAAAAAAAAAAAAACAAACCCCAAAAACCAAACAAAAAAACACACAAAACCCCCCCCCAAACTGGGATTGGAACAGGATGTGAATTGTAATTGTTGTGAATGCCCCAGAGTTTGAGAGAGAAGTCAAGGGCAGAATTAGGGTGCTGAAGGAAAACAAAGTGGGTGTGAGCGTGTATGTTTTGGGTTGTTTTCTTTTCTTTATTTTTTTTAAGAGAACACTTGCCTGGTCAAATGAATGGTTTCTGGGTCTTGCTGTTCAGTCTCTTCAGCTACTGAAGCTTTGCATCAGGAAATGAATAGACAGTTTTCCCTTTATATCATCTGTGCTGTTGGTATAGCAACAGTCATTCGGAGCTTGCTTTTGTGGAGGATAACTGCATCTGTATGCAGTTTGTGGTTGTAGAATGGGCTATTAGTCGTGGCCAGAAATAGGGATTACTTTTTTTCAGATTTAATCTAATTTAATCCAGAAATGTTCATGCTTTTTTTTTTTCTTTTTTTTTTTCTCCTAAACTGTTACTGATAGTTTGCGACAACACACAGGGCAAACTACATACTTGGGGATGCTTTATTTAATTAACTTAATTAAAGGTAGTAAGACATAGTGCAGTAAAACTGGAAGAGCAGTTTATAGGATATTCCGTTGTACTGAAAGGAGCTACTTTTAAACCCTTGTTCTCTTTGCAGATCTTCAGAATTTGTTTGAAAAAGCAACTGAAGATGCTGATGGAAAACTGTCCTATGAGGATCTTCAAAAGCTGCTTGGCTCTACAGCCCAAGAGTCACAGAGCTTTAAGAAATTTGACACGGACGGAGATGAGAAATACTCATTACAAGAACTGAGATTAGCTTTAGGTGTATAGGAGATATATTTAGAAATGTGATACTGGTGGATGCTACTGTAGCTAAAGGAAACTACGGGACATGAGAAACTACGTCTGCACTTTCCCAGTGTTTTACTGATCTTTGGAGCTAAATTACTGTACACATTGCCACCTCTTTTTTTCGGTTGCATTTATTGAAAAAAAAAAAAAATTCACAAATTTATATGTTGATAAGACATAATATTGGGACTGTGTTAAAATCCAGAAAATTCCCAAACTTTGAAACGTTTTCCTCTCATTCTTTCCTTTTCAAGGAAGTTCTTCTTTTTAATTTTAAAAGTGTACATACTAAAATAAAACTATGGTTTTATATTTCACTGAAATTTGCCTTAAATTAGAGAGCTGCACTTTATGTAGAGCAGAATGAAATCTGTCTTATAAAGATGGGCTTCTTCTGCTTGTAAATATTTGAGATAGAGTAAATTACACATGTCTAAGGGGAAGTTTGTGTCAGTGGCCGTGTTGGTACTAAGCTGTTTATAATGAGAGCCTGAGCCTAAAAGGGGTGGTTAAGAACTTCAGCTAAATTTCTAATTTTGACTAAGTATAACCATGAATGAATTTGGACTCAGAGGAAAGCAGGAGTGGTAAATCATGCCCATCTATAGCAGGATTTATTTTTTAAAGGGAAGAGTTGAAAGTTTTTATACCGTGAGCCTACAGGAGCAATTACCTGCCAAGTGCTTGGGTTTTCACTTCAGCATTCTTTTAGCTTTGCTGTATTGCATCCAGATTACATTTTGTGAGATGAGCCTATATGTTTTTAAACACATAGAAAGTACTGAATATTTTTAACAGATGCTTAAGACGTGAAAGTCTACAACGCAACCTGCAGAGTAGCACCTGAATAAATAGTTCATGCCTTGGGTGTGATCAGCAGTGTGGTGACAGTCTTGCTGACTGGTCACTGGAGATCTTCTGGACGGCATTGCTGGTGCTGCAGGTTTCTTCCATCCGCTGTTGTTGGGGTCACTGATGAAGCTCTCCCCGAGGAGAGCTCCTGGTCACGAGGAGCGGGAGCATGTGGGGAAGACCCAGAGTAGACTTGTGGGCTGTTTCCTGACTAATGTGAACATGATCACTTCTTGGTACCTTAAACTTTTGTGTTCCCACCAACAGAAGGATATCAAGAGCAGGACAGGAGTGTGTAATCGCATCAGCATTTGCTACTGATGCATGCTTTGTGAGTGAGGTTTCCTTACGGTGGAGGAACTTAAGGGTTTATTTACAGTAGTGGGTCTAAACACAGAGCTTGGTTATAACCTTCTGGAATAGAGAACATTACTTTTGCAGCAGGGATTCTTTTGCAGGCTGGATCAGGGCCAAGTTGGATGATTTTGCTCACAAATATTGCTGATCTTGTTGGGAATTTTTTGCATGATTAGTGAATTGAAGTTGCCCACCTTGCTGAAACATCAGTTTATGTGGAAGCTGGTCCATAGTCATTGACTTCTATATAAAACTTTGGACTGGATGCTTATAGTTTTATGAATAACGGTATTCTGGAAGTATGAATCAGTGAAGGAATGTACAAAATGGAACCCTGTTACTCTTTACCTAGGCTTCTTTCACTATTGCTCTTCTATCCTGTTTGGGTAATGCAGACATGACTCAGTATGGTGATGCTTTTGATGTGACATTTGAAAATACAGTATTTAAACAAAACAAAACCGACCAACCTTGGCTTTGAGAGGACAAGAAGCCAGCACTTGCTTCTTGCCACTTCCCACACCCTTTTATACACTACTGTGTAATTCCCTAACCAAATAAAAAAAAAAACCACACAACAACGTAGCAATAAAATGTAACCATTCTGGTATTTTATTTGTACATACTGTATCATAGCCATACGCCAGAGTTTGCAAAATATTTTTGGAAGTTTGATTTGTATGGAATTTAACTTACCTTAAAATTTAAGGGATTATTGTATTGCCGTGTGACTCTGTTAGCGTTTTGTTTTGTTGCAGTTTGCTTTATGTTTTAGAAGGCTCTTCAACAGCAATAGTGAAACTGTCGGCTAGAGACACCGTGTGCTGCTCCGGGCGCCCAGCTGGTCAGTAATTAGCAATGCGGCACAGCTGTCCAGCGGTGCTGCTTTAATTTGCATGTCAAGAGCATCGCGGGTCGCTAATTGCTGTAGTCGCTGTTGTTGTAGGGTGGAACCGTGCTATCAATTTGACAAAATCCAATCATCCCCCAGTAACAGCGGTCGCTTTTCTTTGGCCTGGGGTGGCCATGTGCTGCAGGCTGGGAGCATGGCTCCCGCCCAGCCACTGCCATCCTGCCAGCCTTCTGCTGCGCTGCCCGTCTCCATCCCGCACGCTTCCCAAAACCCCGGCGCTGGGGTCCTTCCTCCCCTTTGCTGTTCCCGCTGCAGATGGTGGAGCGCATAAAGCCATGGCCGTCCTAAATACGCTTGTCTGCCTCTGCTCTCTGCCGACTTGAGGGGTCTGCGGGCGGCATCTGGGGCTGTAGCTGAGACTTGCTGTGATTCTTGGTTCACTTCCAGGCTGTATTTGTTTGTTTTTTTTTTTTTTGGGGGGGGGTGTTTTGCTTTGTTTTGTTTTGTTTTGTTTTGTTTTTTCCCTGGTGTTTTAGTATTTATTTTTGTACTGGAATTTTCTCAAAGTACATCTCATTGATTCATACAGGAATAGCATCTTTTGCTGACACTGTCCCATCCTTTTCAGATGGAGGGAACTGTTTTCTGCTGCAGAGTGAATCAATGAGTTTTCAATTATCTACGAGGATACTGGTGGTATTTATTTATTTCTTGTCTTTTCTTTAAAAAACATTCAAACCCCAGAAGAATTCAAATCCTTTGTACAAAGTAGTCAGCGAAAAAAGAAAAGGTGGACATTTTTTACCATGCTGGTTCTTATGGCAAGTTCAAAAAATATTTAGTTGCAATATTTTATTATTTAAATGTTTTGCTTTATTAGCAGGATGTTACAAGCCTTAATTTCATCATGGTGTAATGCAACAATAATTTGATGTGATTGAACAACATTAATAGGGAAAAGGGGGTGCTGCGTTGTTTGAGGTTGGGTTTTTTTTGGGGGGGAGGAGGGGGCGGAGGGAGGTCATTTTTAGCTTTGTGCCCTCATGAGAAAACAAGTCAGTTTAGGCCAAACGCAGCTTTGAAATTCACTTGTGTTGCCAGCGAGTCACAGAGAGAGGCCTCTCCCAACACGTTCAGCTTGATAAGAGAGAGTTTGGCTAACAAGAAGTTAAAATTTTAAGTTAAGAACGTGAATCGGAACCACAGTAAACATTTTAAAAGGCCAAATGACGTTAATCGCCCAGTACTGTTAATCGTCCCTTTTCCAGTTCAGGTCCAGCCCAGATGTGTTTGAATCCCGTATGGAAAAAAGAAATGATGTGAAAAAGCAGCCCGTGGGATACTCCAAGCAAGGAGAATTTATCAAATGTATGGAGGAAAAGGCAAGGGCAGTTTTCTTTGTAGTTATTAACATAGAGTAATGCTATAATGACATTTATATAGGATCAGCATAATTCTACAAACATACAGTGTTCCTATTAGTAAGGAGCCCCAGAATTTCACTCTCTGGTGGCTAAAAATATCCTGTATTCCAGTGTATTATTTTGCTGTATTTTAGGCTGTAAATTTTGCACTTGTGGCCTTATTTAAGTGTTTAATTAGTTCCAGGTTAGTTTGGCCCAATGGAGTGGCATGATCTTGCAGTTATCATTTTGCAGTGAATGAAAGCAAGCTGTTCAGTAATATTGGATCCCAAATGCGTAACGGTTTGCTTTAATCGTTCCTGATATTGAAATTCGTATTTCACATTGTTACTCATCTTTTTATTCTCCTAATCAGTATTTTATTTTAATAAAATGCACTGCAGCGACCTCTGTCTTAAATTTGAGCTCATACTCGGGACATCTTGTCATCAGGCATATTAGGCGTGGCAGGAAAGGGAAATAAATGGTATTAAAGTCTTTCTAACTAAAGAAGAATGTTTTCTTCTAGGCAGAAGGCACAAAGACATCAAAGGGAGGTTTCACAAAAGATAAGGTAAGGGAAATGAACCGAAGTGTTAGGAGAGGACATGCTGGCAAATCAAGGGTGTCGATTAACTTGTGTTGCTACCATCAGTAGATAAAACTTCCTGAGATAAAACTAATATTCCTTATGCTGCACTTCAGTATAAGGTACTTATTTACTATTGGGATCACTTTCAAGTCTTAAAACTCCTGGCAGTCTGTTTTTCTTTTTTATTATCCAGTCCTTTCTTTCTTGACATCCTGGAAGTTCATACCAGTTAGGGGATCTGTACTGAATGCTGACAGTAATAAATTGAAAGGGTTAAGCTGCCTTTACAGCATGTAAATGCACTTCCAAGGATCAGCCAGCAGAGGGACAAGAGAATGGTTTTATTCTTTTGCATTCTTGTATTTTGACAAACTTACTGTGCAAATCTGCCAACAGTCTGAGATGGCTGAAGGTGAAAGGCTGCAGCTTCTCTTGCAGCTTCAGTAGAGATCTGCACAACTGGAGCAAAGTCTATTCTGTGTCCTGACAGAATCTCTTCTATTCTGCCACTGTGTGAATCCACTTCTCAGTGTGTTACCGCTTATGTTTTACTAGTTTCTTTGGCAATTCAGAGGACTAAGTCACATTGCAAATTGAATTAAGTTCCTCCAGCTTGATTTTGTTCTCTGTAATTGCGTCCATTCATTCTGGATTCTCACTTGAATCAGAGAACTGTCATCATGCCAAATTCCTTATGCTCTCTCTTGCAGACGCTTGATTCAATTCTTAATGTTGAGATGGTGAAAGAAAAATCAGCAGAGGAGATAAAACAGGTGATGGCTTTAAATGCAATAAAATTTGCTCCACATCTATGCTTAATAGCAATCTACATGTGAGGATGGAAATTTTACTTAGAGTGAAAAATAAAACATTGCTATAGATGTATATTTATAAAAAGCACATTCACATGCATATCAATAGTAGAAGATAAAGTTTTCTCCATATACATAAATCCACCTAGGAGGTACCTGCCTGATAAATAATACACCTGGACTTGATGGCTCAAAAGCTGTCTCTATTGTAATTCTTATTGTTGCCATTTAACGTGTAGCAGTTGAATTGACATCAGCAGAGTCCTGTCAGGTTGGGAGCCAGGTAAAGGGAAACCCTAGCAGTAGCTCATGTGGATTATGCTACATCTGTTTTGCAGGAATTAAGGAAAAAAAAAAAAAAAAAAAGCTTTTGCCTACTTGTGCCTTTCTTTGCATTATCTGTCATTCAGGAGCCTGTGTACTCATAATAAAGTTGGTTAGAGTAAGAAGGAGGCGGGTGGGTCTGTTTGTTTGTTTGAAGCACAGTGTGAGTCAAGTTATTCTCCCTAATACCTGCTTGGCTTTGCACTGTATTCCTTTTTACCTCGTTAGAAGTCACATATGTTGCACATTACTGACGTAGCTTCAGTTGGATCTGGTATTTTTTTTTCCTTATCAGACTGTATGCCAAGAAGCTTCGTGTAGGCATGATCATTTAAGGGGACAGCACATATGAAGGAGCCTTCTGGCATGACTTAAAGGGCAGAAACCTAGCTGCTTTCCTGATAGCTCGAGAACATTATAGAAGTGGTTATGTGCTCTGCAGGGGATGGTGTGCAGCCAGTTATAGCAGGGAGGGGATTTGATAACTCGTGAGTTTTCTTCGAGTTCCTCTATTTCTGTATTATTGATTTATCATTTTACTGGCAATCTCATTAGTTGTGGAGAACTGGGGAAGGGCAAGTGAAAAAGTCCTGTACTCTGGGCTTTTACCTGTGCTTGTCCATTTATTAAGGACTTTGAGCTTTTACGTAGGTATTGCCATCCTGCTGTGGTGAAGAAAAAGATTGTGAACACAAAGGAAAATTATGCAGTGTCTTCTCTTCTGTTGAAAATGTTTTGTATGTTATTAAAAAAACAAAACAAATCAACCCAAAAACTCAAAACCCTCTAGAAATCATTAGTGTGATTGTTGGGAAAAATGTAAGAAGCACTCCTGATGGCTAGTGAATCTTGAGCCACCTCTGAGCCTACTGCTTATTGCTGTTGTCTTGTTGAAGTCTGTCATTTGGTACAAGTACTCTGCAGCCTTAGGAGAAGTGTATTGCATTAGTAGCAAAGTCAGTGAGGCTTGACTGAAAAATGAGCCCTCAAAGTGTTTACAAAAGTTAGTTGACAAATGGAATTCTTTTTAAAGCATTTAGTATTACTGCTACATGCTTGATTTTAACTGTATCTCATCTCCTTTGTTTCCTACAGATTTGGAATCAGTATTTTTCTGCAAAAGATACAGTTTATGCTGTTATTCCTGTAAGTAGTTCCCCTTTAGTTATGAGCTTGAAAGGCCAGTCTGCAAAGCTGTCCTTCCTAGTTGTGATCCTGTTGCTTTTAAAAGCAATCATTGAAGGAAAATGAGGTTTCAAGAACAAACTTTCTTTCCAGATTGAGTGATCTTATTGCCCCAGATAAAGGCTTTTGTTTCCAAAAATGCGTATCCCTTTTGTTTCTCACTTAGGTCAGTCTCAGTAAGGGTATTACCTTTTTCTGCACACCCGGCTTGAATTTCCTGGCATTTTTTATTATGAGTATCCAATATTCTTAGCAGGGCCCTAGTATCTGTTGAGGTAGCATTTGTATTTTCACATCATTTTTTCGCAGAGTGGCTCGTTTCTTTCCCCTCTTCCCTGCAGTGCGGACTGCTAACTCAAGTTTAATATGGCAGTATTAGACCATTTGGCTAATAACTTGCACGTGGCTAATCACTTATGAGTTACTTTCATACATTTAAAATTATTTGGCAGCACTGTCTTTCATTGAGATTGCATGGTGCTTCCTGTGATAAGATCAAATTTGTTATTCCTGATAGTTTTACCAGATGTTAATTGTTGTTAATCTGCGTTAGGCTGAAGGAATTTTTTCGCTTTTGGAGTTTCTTTTTTTTCTATTTGCTTCAGAGTTTCTACGTGATCATGATCTCTTAAATCTGTCTTTTCACATCAGGGCACGAACTGTGTGTGCCTTGAGTTCTTGAAACCTCATTTAGATCTGGGATCTGATTTGCAATTGTACTTGGCCCTTTGAGCTGCAACTGAAGTTGACGGGAGGCTTTATTCTGAATGTATGAAGTGCTGTATGCTCTGAAAATGGCAACGTAGGATTTGAAGTCAAGCAGCTTCGTTTTTCATTTTTCCCAACATGTGGATGGTGTGAAAATAGTTTGAATTGCACATTTACTGTAGCAGAGGGCCAAAGCCAGGGACTCCAGTTAAAATGGTGAAGGTCTTTCATTAGTGGGGCTGGCACTGTTCTTTGGTGCACTGTTTTAGAGGAGCTTTGGAAGCTTTCGAGACTTTAATGCAAACCAGATCCTAGGCACATTAGAAAGTAGTTCATGGTGTCATCGGGGAAAAAAAGCTACATCTTTTGCCAGAAGCTTTTTGTTGGCTGGAAGAAAGGCCTCACATAATTCTCCAGTGCTCAAAAGCACACATAGAGGAATTTCATGTTGATGAATGGCATATGCTTTCTTTCATGAACACCTCAGAGTAGGTATTAATATATGGTGCTGGGAAGAGAAGAGCAGGCAAAAGGTTTGGGGGAACTCAGAGGACACATGAACGAGATTGCCAGGTTTCATCAGGGATGACCAAATAAGTTTGTGGTTTTAATATAAACCTAAGCAATAAGTGTGTTATTTGAGTAAATATCTAGGCTGCACTTTAATACTGAAGAACAGATGACCGTGATGTAAAATCTACAATTTGAGGCCAGGGATATGTCATCTTGCTCAAGTGTTGACACCACATGAAGCAGTGGAGCTGTTACTGAAAAAGGACGTAACGTAAGCCTAAAGCATGGCCCCCCCATCTCCAAGGAATAAAACTTTGGATCCAAGGAGTTCGCTGCTGCATCTTAGAGATGGCATTGTTAAAACAGGGTATCAATGACATTTAGGTAACGAAGAACTAAATACAGTTTTCCATGGACTCATTGTTAACCATTCCTGCAGTGAGACCCTCTGTAGATAGAAATTGTACCCTGCAAAGGTTAACGAGATGATTCTGAATAACTATGCATCCACATTTGTGTTATGAAAATTGAATTTCTCTTTCTCTTTCCCCAAAGGCAGAAAAGTTTGATTTAATATGGAAGAGAGCCCAGAAATGTCCATCGGTACGTATGGCAGAGACTTGCAATGCATGGATGTAGAGCTGTAATGCATTTCTCCTCTCTAAAGCCTAATTCATAAACTTTTGACCCTCCTGTATTCAGACTCATTGTATCAGCTCGATTAGTAAAATCCAGGTGTTCAAATACTTGTGTTAGTGTTCAGATAAAAGCAGTGGCTATTCATATGTATTAAACACTTTCATCTAGGTATCAGGTGTCTAGATATGAGATGTAGGATTTATTAACAAGAGCACAGAATCTCCCAGGGAATGGATTTAGCTACACGCCTCCGGTTTCCATTAATTGATGTCTTGTGGTTAAATCTCTTCTGTGCAGTGTTGTGAAGAGCCAGACTTTGTAGGCCAGCCTCATTGGTGTTCCTGCATGTCTTTCCTTATTGTTTAAAGCATCCTCGCTTTAACCTGGATGAACTGTTAGCTATAGCTACGTGTCACCATCGTGGTACGTTGCATGTACATGGAGAAAGGGAATTCTCTTGTCTTACGGTTCGTGTGAGTTGCTCCTCCTTCTTTTTACGTTTGTTTACTGGCAGTGAAGATAGACAGGAGTACCTGAAAGGGAAAAAGGCAAGAAATCAGTACGTTGGGTTCTGTCCACAGAATGAGCTGAACCTTGTCATCATTAGCCTGCTTTCCCTCATCATAAATGTGCGTAGCCACACTTTCTTCACCACACTGGTGATCTGTGATAGGTAAATATTGGTAAGCGAACATAAGCTATTTGCATGGAAGCCAAACTGGGCAGGCAGTGTGGTGTGTAAATAATGCATCTCTGTCTCTAGGGGTGTGTGAGTTGTCAAAAAAGACTGTATGGCATGCGGTGCAAAATTGAGTCGTGTAAGTTCTGTTGCAGAGCATTGTAATTCGACAGCTGTGACAGGGGAAGGAATAGGGGAAATTGGGTGTAGTCAAACGCTGTATTGCAGATACAGAATAAATACTCTATGGGTTGTGTCTTAGGTCTGTGGCAGCGCAGCAAAGCATAAAATACTGACAATGCTTAATATGGTTATTTCAGAGATTAGTGGATTCCCAAGATTTGGGTTCATTGTTTCTCACGTGGGTCTGCTAAGCTTCAATTAGAAGATTCCTGTGTGAATGAGCAGGTTGTTGCTTTGAAGACGTTAAACTGCAAAAGAGCATAATGGCTAACAAGCTAAAGGATTTCTTTCTGCAGTTTTGTACCACATTCTGCTTGATTAGTATTGTCTTCTGTTGAAAGTAATGTGTTTTTACAGTAATTTGTGCGCTGAAGCATGGACTTTGTGCAAATTTCACTGTGCTGAGGCAGAAATGAAATGCTTCACTCCTTTATGAAAACAAAGTAGCTAGACTTCACTGTGTTGAGAGGAGTGCTTTTGTGGATCCGAATGGGAGACTTTACTGGATTGATGGATTGGTCCTGTGTATTTCACTTGGCGAGAGCAAGATCAAATATATCTGGCTTCCTGAGCTACTCAGAGCTTGGAAAGTTATTTTTAACTTTAAGTGCATTTCTCTCAAGTGCATTGGCATTTAGTCAGGTATCCTGCTTGTTTCTCTGCTCCCATCTTCTCCTTTTCCTTGGTGTGGGAAAATGAGCAAGTCCTTAGCCTATGAAGACGAATAGACTGTAAATCTCCAGCGAGAAAATACTTGCTGCCTGTTGTGGAGCAGTTGGTGAAATTGCAGGATTAAAAACTCTGAATGCTCCTTATCTTATATTTGACCATTTCTGCTGTTAATTTTCTAGAAGTGAACAAAAAGGTCAGAGTCTGAATGTTCTCCACTGTCCTTTCCTTTCCTTTCCTTTGACTGTCTCATAATACTGATAAAAATATGTGCCAACATGTTTGCTAATAAAATAATACTGATAAGGTAATGGTGGTTTGTTGTCTGTTTTGAAGTCTGGTTCCTGCTGTCCTACCACTCCTGGTGGGGCAAAGAAACCCCTTTTTCTGTTGTGGTTCTCTCACTAAAGCATTTATGCTGAAGGCCAATATGACATGGGCATCATTTTGTTCTATGAAAAGGAGTATTGTTTTGGTTTGGTTTGGTTTTTTTATCGTGTTTCTGCAGTTTCTGTATGCTTTGCCAAGAAAAGAAGGCTATGAGTTCTTCGTGGGGCAGTGGTCAGGAACAGAATTGCACTTCACTTCCCTCATAAACATTCAGGTTAGTGGTTGAAATAAAAAGTCCAAAAATGGCTTAGCATCCAGAAATATATAATACCAGCATATTACAATATATGATATTTTGTAAGTAGTTTAATGAACAGGTTGTCTAGCTTAACTTGAAAATAATTATCGGGGAAAAACTGCCATTAATTATGGGCACTTAGTAATTTTATGGGTATTAAGTGTCTCTAATCTAAAGGACAATGAGGTAGAAGTCAAACAGCCTGAAAATAAAAGCCAAACTGTTTAGCACTGTTTGTGCAAGCTACTTAAAATACCAGTAGATTCTATGAGATTAAACGTCTTTCTGGAAATAGTGGGTTCTTTTAAATGCAAAATGGTCTTTAGTCAAGAAAAAACTCAACCTAACTCTGCGAATCCCTTCTTTTCTGTAAATACCAGGAATAATGAACTTCGAATTAGAACTGGCCCTTAAGCCCTGAAAAATAAGTGCCTCCATAGCAGTTAATACTCAAAAGTTTTGTAATCAAGTCTCCAAATCTGCAATAGAGCTGAAGTTCTTTATGGGATACTTACGGGATATTTATCTCCTTCAGACTCAAGGTGAAACTGCTCCCAGCCAGTTGGTCTTGTACCATTATCCTGAGCTGCAGGAGGAAAAAGGGATAGTACTAATGACAGCAGAAATGGACTCAAAGTTCTTGGTAAGAGAAATCTGTTCGTTGGCTTTCTTCATTTTATGCTGCAACTCCTCCTACAGTTTGGCATTAAAACCAAATTAAAGGTCTTTAAAAGACTCTCTCCCAAAGAGTGGTCTTACTAGATTTCTTTAACCTAATCTATTTAATGCTAGGGAAAGCTAGAAGGAAATCATCAGTATTTGGCTGTCTGGTGATTTCAGCTCATTCTTTTTTTTTTTTTCTTGTTTTCTTTTTTTTTTTTTGTCCTTACTCTGGGTATTACAGATTATTGGTGTAAAACAATAGAAATGCTTCTGATTTTTCTTATTAATGGACACAAATTTAAATGAAAGCTGTTGCTACCTGCCAACAAGCTAAAACAGTGAAGCTTAATACTGCTCGTCAAATAAGGAGACCTCCAGAGCTTTGGGTTAGGTTTCTGTGTGCCTTTGCTCGTTTCCCTCTGTGTGGGTGTGCTGTTATTTGCATATCTGTAATAGCACGGTGCTAGGACTAACAGCACGGGGGATTATATTGATGGAAAAAGATAACCAAAGCATCCCACCCTCTAGCTGACCTATTTTACACCAGTTCTGAAACTGTGCGCAGAGGAGTCATTGGTAATGCATGTGCCCTGTCGTTTCTCAGAGAAAACAATCAATTTTTGCAAATAGGTCAGCCGGAAGAAGGGAAAGATGGTGAATCTCCAGTGTCTTAGGGTGGCCAGGGATCATGAAAGACATCTTTGACCTCTGAGTTTGTATGCTCAGCAGGAGAGCAGTTTGTAGGCACAGCACTGAAGTGTCTAAGTAGGTCAGGAACAAGAGGATGGTGGTTTGTTAAGAGATTTACAAAACTAAGGTGACTTGGAATAGTCATTTGATGAGTCGGACCGCAGCCTTGCAGCTGCTTGAAGAGTCTTTTTCAAGGGGATAATCAAATACAACAAAACCCGATGGTGACAAATGCTTTGTTCTAACTTGCAGGTGGTCCATGAAGCACAGTGCTTGGCGAATCAGGTGCAGCTTTTCTATGCGACGGATCGTTCCGAGACCTACGAATTAGTGGAGACCTTCAACCACAGATCTAGTGAATTTAAATATATGTCAGTTATAGCAGAGCTTGAGCAAAGCGGACTTGGACGAGAACTGAGACCTGCTCCGGTTTCTGACAAGTCGTAGAGGGCGAAGAGGGCCAACGGCAGGCAGGGGGTTTCCTAGATGGAGCGGTCCTGTCTCTTGTTTTAGGTATTTGGTTTGGCTACAGAAAGGATCTGGGGACATCCTGGGAGTGCGATAGTCAAAGCTGTCTGGCACTGATGCAAGATGAGGAATTAGGCCATTTGAATGATAATAACTAATTGCCAAAAACGGAGCCCTGTACTTCAGTGTAACTTTATCAGTATGAGCCATTTGCCTGTCCTGTAACTCACTGCTGCAGGTTGTATTTTTGAAATCTGAAATAAAGTGACAGAAGGGGAGCTATGTAATGGACTATGTTGACATCAGGAGGGGGGTAACAATGTTTCTTGGTAAATGCATTTTAAATGCCGTCCACCATTATAATTGCATGCTCCAGCGCTTTTTCATCAGTGTGGAATTTATACAGGCTTGTCCATCAAGAAAAGAGAACAGGACCGATGGACTAAACCAGACTCCTCTTTGTTACTTTGTGCGTGAGGTTCCTTACACAGATGTATACTGTGGCCTGTGTTTTTCTCAGGATTAAAAAATAGAGTGACTAGATTTGTTCTGGGAAGTTTGTGCTTCTTAACTGATATATTAATTTTATCCTGTTGCTGTGTTTCTGTCTTAGAGATGCTTTTCTTGAGGAGTAGGGTATTATAAACATGGGATTATTTTTGTATGTTTTTGAATAGTGCAGAGGAATTATTGCATGCTTTATAGAATTCATTTTTTCTCAGACTGGCATCTAGTCAGCCAACTCTACAAATGGTATTTGAAGGGACAGAAAATAGCTCATTCCCATTTCAGGAAGGGCACTATCCATAATAAAAGCAAGACGGAATGGCACAGTAACAGAGCTAGAGCCACCAGCTGGCTTCTCGATTGCTAAGAGACAACCGATGAAAAAAATGCATTGGTGTGAATATGCACAGCAGCTTTAACACAGCAGTGTTGGTAAGAATCTGGCTTTTAAGGACTGGTTTGTTTTTTTAAACCTGCCTTCAACAAAAGAACTCCAAAGCATTTGTGCTTGGAGCTTCTCTTGTTTTCATTCCCGGCAGAGGCAGTGTTTCTGCGGATGAGGGCATACTGCGGCAGTGCTAAGTGATGTGCAGCCCGCGTGTGGATTATCAGCATAACACTGCTGCACAGGTAGGCACGTAAACAGAAGACAGACAGGAGCTTTGCAGAAGCAATGCTGAAATATTTCCCATATCCACATCAAATCCCTGGCACTAACTTGCCCTTAGCACCAATTGTCTGTTATGACCAGGCCGTATCAGCCTGCTGAAGCTGGTAAGCGTTCCCTCCTTTGCCAAAGAAATGGAGGCAAGAAGGGTATGCGGCTTGTCTCTGTTAGAGGAAGACCCATTTTTTGGGCAGGGCTGGTAACAGATTTTCTGTGCTACCCTTAACTGTGACCTGATACAGAGCTGTGATTAGTTATAAAGGGCTTTTACACAATCTGTTTGCCAGTGTAATTGTAGGAGCCTGTTGGTGTCATACTCACTGTCACTCCATACTTTCTCAGCTCATCCTTTGGACATGAACAGTATCCAGCTAAGCACTGAAGGTAGATAGTAAGGTTTTATTGTTGGGGTCTATTTTAGCAGCGACTCGTGTACATTGGGTGTGAACTCTTGTCCATTCAGGGAATTACAAGATGTTTTTAGAAGAGGGCTACTTTCTCCTGGAGCTTTGCTGCAAGAAGATGGTCTTACTCTCTGGTAATGTCTCTTTGTTTCTTATTGCGTTGGGTCTGTGAGCGTGTGCATAGCGGGGGAATGATCAGAGGAGATGTGCAGAGGGCTGTTATAATCTGAACAGCAAATCACCATTATATTAAAGAGCCTTTCTACTTCTATTTTACAGCATTCGTGCTCCACTTATCATTTTCCCTTAGCTGAAATAAGGGCAGTTTTGATTCATTATTCACTTCCCGCTTTGAAGAAGTCAAAGTTGCTTTATTAATTTTTAATATAGCTGTAATACAACATCTCTAGAAGAGTCATGGGCAACAGGAGTGAAGTTCAAGGCTTCCAAATCTACACCTGAGCTTCTTTCTAGGTTTAAAACCCAAAAGTCTCTAGTAAAGGCTGTAGCAGTCACTACCTGTAATTTTGAGTGGTGTTTTTTTCAACCTCTCATGTGATTAATCCCAAGTGAAGAACTTCTCCAAGGGTTTAAGACAGACAGAAGTGGCAAAATCAGAAAAAAAAGGAAATATTTCTTGCATTGCATGTGTCGGAAAGGTTTTTAAATAAGACCCAAACTGAACAGGCAAAGTTGATTGTACTGCATGCAGCCGTTTTGCAAGCGACTGCATTTTCTGGCCTTGGCAGAGGTGGGATGGACTGGTGGAGGTAACAAGGGCTTTATTTCTGCCTTGAAGTGCACGCCATAACATGTGAACTCTTGCGTCAGCATGAGACCACTTGGCACAGAAATGACCGACGTGGTGTCAGTGTTGCATCTCCCCGAGGGGCAGAGGAGCAAAGATCCGGCTGGGCTTGTATGTGCCCGTGTGTGCAAGGGCAGGGAGATAGCGGAGTGCTTACAAAGCTGAAAGCTGCACACCCTCCTGGGAGGGTATTCCCAGATCTGCTGCTGGGGACGGGGTTTTGCTGCAGCCCTGAAAAATGTTACTGCTGTGTCTTCTCCACCAGGCCAGTCCAGTGGACTGTGCTGCTGAAATGCTGCTGTGAGCGGGGAAGCTTCAGACAACTATTTCCTACTGTATTCCTGTATGATCCATATACAGGTTATAGTCTGTATTCCTACAGATTATAACCATAGAATCATCAAATGGTTTGGGTTGGAAGGGACCTTAAAGGTCATTGAGTTCCAACCCTCCTGCCATGGGCAGGGACACCTCCCACTAGACCGGGTTGCTCAAAGCCCCATCCAGCCTGGCCTTGAATACCTCCAGGGATGGGGCCTCCACAACTTCTCTGGGCAACCTGTTCCAGTATCTCACCACCTTCAAAGTGAAAAATTTCTTCCTAATATCTATTCTAAATCTACCCTCTTCCAGTTTGAAACCATTCCCCCTCATCCTATCACTACGTGCCCTGGTAAAAAGTCCCTCTCCAGCTTTCTTGTAAGCCCCCTTCAGATACTGGAAAATTGCTATAAGGTGTTCACAGTCTTCTCCAGGCTGAACAACCCCAACTCTCTCAGCCTGTCTTCACAGGAGAGGTGCTCCAGCCCTCTGATCATCTTCATGGCCCTCCTCTGGACTCCCTCCAACAGGTCCACGTCCTTCTTATGTTGGGGGCTCCAGAGCTGAACGTAGTACTCCAGGTGGGCTCCCACAGGCGCAGAGTAGAGGGGTAGAATCCCCTCCCTCAACCTTCTGGGCATGCTTTTTTTGATGCAGCCTAGGATGCAGTTGGCCTTCTGGGCTGCACGTGCACATCGCCACCTCATGTTGAGCTTCTCATCGACCAACTCCCCCAGGTCCTTCTCCTCAGGGCTGCTCTCAATCCATTCTCCAACCAGCACGTGTCCGTGCTTGGGATTGCCCTGGCCCACATGCAGGACCTTGCGCTTGGCCTTGTTGAACATATGAATTGTCTATGTGTAAAAAAATAATTGTCTATGTGAAAAAAAAATAATTGTCTGCATGAAAAGAATAATTGTCTACAAGAAAAAATTGTTTTCTACATATGAATTGTCTACATGAAAAAACGCCATCTTCTTCCTTGTAATAAAGCTGTGGTCTCTGTAGTCCAACCTTTAGAATATTTTTTCTAGTTAGATAGAAAAAAGCAAGCATCATAGAAACTGTGTAATTCCAGCTGGAGCTAGATAAAACTTGTCTTGGATGAATGCAGAAGTTCAGAGCATGAAGGCTGGTTTGTGGTCTGAACCAGGGGTTTGCTGGGGAGCCCCTAAGACTTGGGTTTCAGTCCCTGGACCTGTGAATGTTGCTGAAGTACTCTGTGTAGTACTCCAGGTGGGCTCCCACGGGCGCAGAGTAGAGGGGTAGAATCCCCTCCCTCAACCTTCTGGGCATGCTTTTTTTGATGCAGCCTAGGATGCAGTTGGCCTTCTGGGCTGCAAGTGCACATCGCCACCTCATGTTGAGCTTCTCATCAACCAACACCCCCAGGTCCTTCTCCTCAGGGCTGCTCTCAATGCATTCTCTGCCCAGCCTGTATTTGTGCTTAGGACTGCCCCAACCCATGTGATGGACCTTGCACTTGGCCTTGTTGAACTTCATCAAGTTTGCACAGGCCCACCCCTCCAGCCTGTCCAGGTCCCTCTGCATGGCATCCCTTCCCTCCAGCATGTTGACCGCTCCACACAGCTTGGTTTTGTCGGCAAACTGACTGAGGGTGCACTCAATCCTGTCCTAACAGCAGATGGCCCTGTAGTCTGACGCGTTGCACCATCAGAGCATCTTGGTCATAGACGACAGAGTTGGTTCAGTGTTGGGTGGCCCAGTTGTAGGGTTGCAAGTTTGACAGGGTGTGAATAAGCTCCCTAATTTGTAAATGGAGAAGTGGAAGCTCTTAGCTCTTCCTTTTGGAAGTGTATGTGCTAATGCGTGTGCTTGTGCTACGGTTAGGACTTGAGCAGTGCAGTCAGATCTGTGCTGGCGGCTGCTGTGGTGGCGATGAAGCTGAAACTGGGATGAAGACCTGCCATAAAAAGGTCCTGGAGAAACTCTAGGCCTGATCCTCCATCCCACTAAAGGCTTGCTGTAAGGGGGAGTAACTCAGCTGAAGAACTGGCCTCACAAACCATCCTTGCTGCAGAAACAGGCCAGTGGTCTTTCCTGGCTGCGTGGTTTCTCTGGTGCCCGGGATGCACTTACACACGGCACCATCCTGCTGGCCACCGGCTGTGGCCCCGGCATGTCCATAGGACGTTGGATGCACACAGGATCCGCGTTGAGCCTTGGAGCCAGTGAAAATAACGCTGTTGGTCTTGGCGTGGGGGAGAGGAGGTGAGTGCGAGACTTAATTGTGCCGTACAGCCGCTAGAGGGGAGGTTTGTCTCCTTATTCTGAGCTACCGGCGCACACATGGCTTGCATGAGCCTGTTTCCTCAGCGATGTAAGCTCGGAGCGAGTCTTTTTCTAAAAAAACCTCAAATATCCAGGTCAATAACATGGTGGGCTGCTCTTAGTTAGACAAACTGTTCTCCTGGCCTGGTGTCCTGGCTCCTAAATGAGCTGCCTTGGGGAGGGCAACCATTCCACGCTCATTCTCCAGGTCGCTTCTCTGATTTCCACCCCCGTGTGGACCAGGGTCTTCACAAAGGAACCAGGTGCTGCAGGAGCCAC